ACCTACGGTGACCTACTTACCACTGGCTATCGTGCAGGTCACGGGTTCAACTCCAGGGAACTGTACAGATACTGTACACAGGTAAGCTGAGGTCAAGGGATCGACCCCTGGGATCTGCATCGGCTACTGCCAAAGGTGAAAACTGTTTCACAATCAAATTTTGCTTCCAAAATGTGTCTGCTGCATGGAGGCCCGTAGGTCATGTCACCCTTTTCTATACAGACTCCCACACCGTGCCACAGCAAGATCATGATGGTCATACCCATACGTGAAAGAAAAACCAAAATTTATTTTATAAGACAGGCTATAAGAGCAAGCCTGGCATTGGACTTGAGAAAGAGTTTGAGTGCAGAATTGAGGACGAACCTGAGAAGCCTGGCAAGTGGCCAGACGAAATTCATGAGAAATTGACATGAGGATGAGCCCGAGAAGCCTAGCGAGTGGCCAGAGGAAATGCATGAGAAATTGACCTAAAAATGAACTTGAGAAAGAGCTTGACAAATGTAATGTGTCGAGCGTTAATTCCGGATCAAGTAACAAACCGAACTACAGTTGACAATCACCAAATACAGAGCACAGAGAGATGGCAAACAATGGAGGTGGCAGATTGTACCTCAATATTTAAACTCAAATTCCTTCGAAGTTCGGACAGCCCTAGTTATATAGATGGATGCGTATCCAGTATTATACACCCACAGTGACAGAAACACAGGTGAATATAGACATGCACAGACAGGCAGATACAGAAAACATGGACAACAAAAAAACAAGAAAAAGTTTAAAAAACTTAAAAAAAGGGAAAACATGGACACATCACCTGACATTGACAGGCATTATACTTGCCCACAGGAAAAAGCCAAAAGTTTGCTTTAGTTACTATGCACGACCTGGCGAGCGAGCATACGGTTGCTTCAGAATTATACTTGCCTTCAGAAGTTCAGAGAGCAAAAACATGTGAGATTGACCCCTTCAGATAGCCCTGGTTGTTTCAACTTTGACCCCAACAGCACAGCAACAGGTTCAATTTGGTTTCACTGTCATAGACTTGAATGGATTCACGCTGTAAGCTTTCCCAGTCCCGGTTCTAGGGTCCCTAATTACCACAGTCCAGGCCCCAATTGTTTAGAGTCTTAGGGCCTGTAGGATCAGACACCGTAGGCCGGTAGGCTACAGTACCGTACCGGTAGGAGCACATCAAGTCCCCAAACGTAAAATTTTGCAGCAGCCTCACAAGAAAGTCGTGAAATTTCCCAAAATAGCAATTGGCAAGGCAGAGGCTGAAGGAGGCCAGTACGGATTGAAGGAGGCACGAAACAGTCCACTACAACTATATATCTTGGACTACAGTGCCGGAGGAGTCAGGTGGTCATTCGCAAATTTGTGGAAGCGCTGCTGGGAGCTTGTGCAGACTAGCGACCTGGACGAAGAAGAACGCCGAAGGGAGGAAGAAGACCAGCACCCTGGCTGCAACAGACCACCATAGCCAGGAGGGAGGAGACAAAGTGTTTGGCGGCCGTAACCGCCCGTTTGCAGTGAGACACACCGTAGAGGCATTCAGGGTAGATCTGGGACATTGTAGAGAGAGAGGAACAGTGAGTGAGAAACGGTGACTGAGGAAGTGCAAGTGAAAAAGAGAGAGAAGGAAAGCATAAAGAGAGGAGGGAGTCAGGTACATACCTGAGGAGTGTTGCAGCGGTTGAAACCGCTTATTCCCAAACTTTTTCAAGTGTATATTATTGGGCTTTGAGTGGAACTTCGAATTTGCACTGTTCATGGACACCGCTCAAGCTTGTGTGAAGGTCATCTCAATGTTCTCAATTGTATGTTGTATTTTGAGTTGATTCTTGTGAGGTTCATTGCACTGGTATCGGAGCTGGAACCCGTTGCACTGCGGTGGTGGAAGAAAGCCGGCAAGGCATATGGCCGGCGGGTGTGTGCGCGTCGGGGTTTCACTGTAGCAGGCAAGAAGAAATAAAAAGGTGTTGAATTAAGATTGGAGCGGGATCTACGTACCTGCAGCAGACCAAGATCGATGGGGAGCGGCATCGTGAAGACCCAAGTGAAGTGCTTTCTGCCCTCAGCCCTGCCTGTTGAATCTTTTTACTGTTTTTTGTGAAAGTTCCACGTACTTTCTTGGTGATGGCTGCTGCTGCTCGGGTACTGTAGACGTCATCCCGTCAAGTTCGACTTAGACCCCAATTCAAGTAGACAAGTGTTGAGATTAGGAGGTTGAAGGGTAAGTCTACGTGGTGAGGAGGTGGAGCACACTTACCGCTGTATTGATATCTCACCATGGATGATTACCCAATGTGCAACTTTGCACTCCTCTTTCTGTCCGTCATATTGCAGTAACCCGTGTCTGCAGAAGTCTGGGCCTCGAACGCAGCCCACACCACACAGGCCAAACTCGGCCTGTGCCAGGCAGTCTGACCACGCACTGCCTTGGGAAAATCAACAGTTTAAGTCAACTGTCAAAGGTACCATGCCCAGGCCCTTGGTTGGATACACTCACTTGTTGTGCGCAGGTACCCAGACAGCATCAAGGCCACAGGGAGTTCGGTTTCAGGCCTATATGGGCCGTCATTTGCCTTGAGATCTCGACGGCCGAGGGAAGCTGCAACCGGGGTCCAGACCCCGCGTCAACGCTACAAAAGCCTGGACCTCCTGGCTTGGAGAACATTCTGTCTTGCGTCAATGCTGACTTCACGCATTGACTACGACGCTAGCACAACGCTGTGACGCTGGCTGGACGCCGGCTCTACGGTGGCACTTGGACGACTGCGGCGACGCGGTGCTGGCTCGGCATGGTGGCTAGCTGGCAATTGTCTTCTGGGCATGCTGACGTGGCAGCTGCCACGCATCGCCGCTGACGTGGCCGCTGCCACGTATACTGTTGCTGACGTGGCAAGGCTACGTGACGGGTATTGCTGTTCTGATTCATTGTCACTCGGGAGGAGATCATGACTGTGGGGCGATCGTAGATACGTACCTGGTTATTCCGACGTCAACATTGCTCCAGCCGCTGATGAGGACTGATTGACATGCCATGTGGCACATTGAGATAGAACTTCAGATTTCTGTTTCGACAATTGATTATTGAGGTGGCGATCGAGGAGGGAACCCAAAGCAGGAGTGGGCATTGTCGTCTTCTCCATTCTAAGTCTCTTCTTCCTCCTCTCTCTTTCGTCTGTGTATGTTTTCCCCATCTCATTCTATCTGGACACGATTATGATTATTGACAATCATCAGCAGGTTGATATCTATCTGGGCTGCATTGTTGACAAGTGTCTTCACGATCTGGGTTCATTGCAATTTGGTATCGGAGCTCTACTTCCGATGATGTGACTGACGACGATGACCTGTATAGAACGACGACGAAGAAGTGGTGACGCCTACAACTGAGGAGCTGACGTGGATAAGTCTGGAAAAGCGCACGTCAGGTGTTGACGTGGCATTGGTATCCCGACAGGGGGAAAATCCAGCAAGGATAGCGCTGCCATCCAGATCCCGATCGATCGCATCTGCGATCAGGATGCATTGCTGATGTGGTCGGTGGTTGTGAAGGAGTGCTGACGTGGCATTGCTGACTCAACACTTGACTACTGCGGTGAATACCTTCAGGCTGACGTGGCACTCCATTACCTGGCTGGCGTGGCATTGTACGACGCGCTGGTATTGCTCCTGACGTGTACCCCACTGATGATGCTGACTGGACTATAGTGCTAACGTGGCAGACTCAAGCGCTGCTGTGTTGGCACACCAAGGGATACACGTGGCAGGCAGGAAAGTGACTTACTCAACGACGACATCGACGCACATTGCTGACGTGCACCGCATTGATCACTTTGACTGGACATGCTGACGTGGCATACTCTTCGAGTTGCTGAGTTGGCATGCCAGGGGTGACACGTGGCAGGCACAGTTGTGTCGAAGTAAGAGTTGCATTCTGATGACTGAAGCCGCACGGCTGGAAGACTGACGTGGCTGTGGTGCCATACGTCAGATTGGGTGCTGATCACACAGGACCGAAGAAGAAGCAGCAGCAGGGGAAGAACGCTAACTATTGTTGTGATTTTGTTGGCGGACTTACCTGTTGTCTTGTGCTGTGTTGTGTGCCTGTGTACTTACTTGTGTGTGTTGATGATCATGCTGGCCTGAGTCGCGGTACCTGAAGTAAAATAGAACGACATCACATTGAAAATAGACAGCAATCAGAATTAGTAAAAAATTTACTTCCTTGTTTTCAAATCTTTCTGTTCAGACAGAGCAAATTTGGTTCGGGTGACCGTTAAATTATTCTCTTTTATTTATTTTGCGGTAGACCAACCTGGCCAACGAATTTTCTTGTTTCTGTCCTCCGAAGATGTCTCACTTCTGGAAATGTTTCCGGGAAGTATTCTGACGAGGTTTGTGACCACATTCTTGTTTCCTATTCCGATTACGCTGTGACGAACCGATTTCCACACCGCGCGATTTTATGCGCGGTGGCGCCGAGGGGTCCTAAGCTGGGAAGGATGGGCCAATTACGAGAGATTGGGATGGTTGGGAAATTGCATCGCTGTCCTTGCTTCTTCGTCCTTTTTCGTCGTCTTTTGGATGACTGGGTTCGGGGTCGGGTGAGTCCCGGGACAATCGATTGATTGATCGACTGTGAGAATGGCGTGCCATTGTGCGCGCGAATAATGAATGTTGACATCGCTTCTTTTGTTTCGGTTTTGGACTTTTGGGCGCGAACATCGCGCGGGAATTTTGCTTCGTTCTTTTTTAATTTTCTTTTTGAATCCTTTTTCAGATCTTGCCGAGCCCTGAGGGCTCTCGGAATTTCGGACTTCCTTTTCGGAGTGGTGCTTTTTGCTTTTCCGCATTAGATAGGAATTTAGGAATTTTGCAATTAGATTTTCTTTTGCCGCGCAACGCTTTTTGCTTACGCGCTTCTTTGTGCGGCTGCAACGGAACTCTGATTAGTCGGCACCTTTAATCGTGTGTGTAACTGTAATTTTGGGCGGGCGCCATTGTAACTGTATCCTTTCTTCTTGTGCTTCGTCTTTCCCGCTCTCGCTTTCTCTTGCAGTGTCTAGCCAGCCCGTGGCCCGCGGGCTGCCTGATCGGATCGATGCGTGGAGAGAGGCTACATCCCCCACGCCGCGGCCCGGCCATGCAGAACAAAGGCACTCCTTCCCCTGATCTCCCTCTAAGTCCTTGCAATTCCGTGTTCTTCGTGCATGCATGCACGCTATAAATTACGGTTGCGCGATTAGACATCTCTCTTAACCAGCTGTTGGAAGCTCGGGGTAGCGCGATTACACATGCATGCACGCTATAAATTACGGCTACGTCCCCCACGCCGCGGCCCGGCCATGCAAAACGAAGGCGCTCCCTCCCCTGATCTCCCTCTAAGTCCTTGCAATTCCGTGTTCTTCGTGCATGCATGCACGCTATAAATTACGGCTGCGCGATTAGACAGCTCTCTTAACCAGCTGTTGGAAGCTCGAGGTAGTGCGATCAATGAGGGTCGGCTCACGAGCGAAGTAAGAGGTGAGTGACGTGGGAGTCGGGCGACCCTACGAGCTGGTACAGAACGCGCGGGGTTGACGCGGGCCACAATGGACTGTGGGCGCGGGCGAACCTGACGGGTGCGGGAGGACTAAGCGGGGTGGCGACCTCGTGGGTTGGTGCGTGACGACGGACTGTCCGCATCGGAGAGAGAGAGAGAGGGAGCTGAGTTTCATGGACGTGGATTTGTTGTTTCTTTTGTCTTTTCTCCCTCTTTTGCTTTTGTATACAAATTTTGATCTCGGCTCAGGGCGATTTGCCCGTTGTTTCTCTGTTTTTCGGAATCTTGATTTGGTTTCGGCCCACACTCGTTTTTGTGAATTCAAACTCGGATATGGTGTGTTATGCTGAATAAATGGATKAATGGATGTTATGACTGTTTGTTTCTCCTTTTGTCTGATCCTTGCCTTTGCTTGTTGTCTCGATACCCTCATGAGCATAGTAGGAGAATTCGCGAAAGCCTCATTGTTGCTATCTCCCCTTTTTGGTCAACTGCTGCACTGTGAATGCGTAGTAACACCTCGCATATTTAGGGAGGATTGCGTGCGAGTCATGGGACGATTAGATGATCGGGCAGTAGTCACCAAGAAACCAGCGAACACCTCGCGGAGATGCGTGTAAACGTGATCTGATCTGCGCACTTACACGTGTCCACGCGCGTCGATTCGTAACCACCCACACATGAAAAGGGCTAAAGATTGCGGGGATATTGATTGAGTGAGTGTGTGTGTTCCGTGGCCATTTTGCGGCCACAACGAAGCGAGCGTCCCGTGTGAACACGTGTAAGTGCGATCCAATTCGCGCAGTTTACACGTACTCACACGCGGTGATCGTAATCGTCGAATATCGGGACTGGCACGAAATTCCTGAATGTCGGACCCGAAGGTTCCCTAGCCGAGCAACCACGCGCTAAGGAGTGTCGCGGCTCCACCATGCCAAGATGACGCGCTCGAGAGACTCAGACTTGCCGTGGGATCCGGAGTACTTCACCCCTTGGATAGAAGAGTGCCTCCGATAGAGGTTCCCCTGTTTAACTGAGAACCGACTGTGTCCTAGGGAGTTCCATTGTGCCACAAACARCGATCCGCGGTGCCCGGATTTCTCCACCTCTGACCACACGCACTACTTTTTTTCCCCCGGATTTGTCATTATATCCACTAACTTCCCTTCCTTTCGCCTTCTTCTCCCGTATCATCAACTCAAGGTCGTCCCGTGGAACGCCATATCCACATATTGGCCCAGCACGCCTTGCGGGAATTGTCGGCGACGCGGCAATCAGAGAGCCCCGGAAACCAGAGGGCCTAACCCGAATACGCAACGACAGCCGCCACGTGGCTGCCCCCAAAGGCCCGAATCATCGGGATCACAGCCCTTCCGGGTAGACCTGGCCCTGAACCAACGCCCCCAAAACAGACGGAGCGGACGACCTTGAGTAACCCGCGCATGCCATCTGCCTTATGACCGAAAGCTGTCCGTCCTCTCAAACCAAATTGCACTTGTGCCCCCGAAAAACTCGGCCACAGGAGATCCCAGTTCTGACCTGGGACTCCACCCCCACTTTCCCAAAAATCCTTGGCACACCCCTTTTCGCACTTCCAGGCCCACATCCTACTCCGATCAGGAAGTCGCATTGGGCGTGAGGTTGGTATCGGAGCCCGACATGTGGCCGAGTTGTAAGGATTAATAGTACGACAAGTAAGCGATCTGGCTAACCAAGGGCGACCTCGACCCCGGACTGGCTGCGATGGGATCCCGTCGCCACTAGAAGCAGATTGGCTAATCGACGGGTAGTTAACATGAATGCTAATCCACAGAATCCGAACCCGCAGCAGAATGTCAACAAACAACAAAATCGTAATCAACCCGCCCCACGAGCACGGGCTCCCATGACGCCCCCGGATCTCTATCTGTTTGACCCCGCACATCATCTCGCTGGAGCATGGTTGGCCACGCTCCGGGCGCAGCAGTATGACGATAAAGAAGCTCAGGTGAATATTCCCGCCCGATTAGGGGGAGACGCTCATCATTGGTTCAGCACCTATGTATGGGTAGATCTCCCGACTTTCGAGCGAGATTTTTTGAATCGATTTGATTATGTCCATCCAGAGCAAGCGCTCTTCATGATCAAGGACCGAGTTCAAAAACCTCTCGAGTCCATTGCAAAATATTGAAACCGGTTCTACCGAATGTTTGTGAAAACTGAGCGGGGCGAGCAAGTAGGGAAAGATCTGTTTATTGATGGACTTCGCAGCCGAACGATAAGGGCAAAACTCCGAAAACAGTTCTCCCTCATCAATCACACGCTCCAACAGATTATGGCAGCTGTAGAGGAAATGCAGCGGAAGATCGCGGCGATTTTCCTAGAAGGAGAAAACTATCCCAAGGAAGGAGACTCGTCCGAACTTGCGAGGGCAAAAGCTGAGCTGGCAGCGTTGCAAAACAAGTTCGAAAACATGGGGTTCGTGTCAGGCCCTGTTACCTATCTAGAACAGATAACCCCTAAGCGACCGGCCCCGAGTGTGATCACGAGCATCCCAGTTCCCGTGATGCCAGCACCTGTAATGACGGCACCCCCGCCACCAATTGAGAACCCTGCAAGATCGAATGAATTGACCGCCATTTTGGAACTGACCAAAACGCTAATTAGCCTAATCCAGGAAAGTAAGAAGGAACAACGAGAACATAATGCTCGGATGGAGGCTATGATGAGGAGCACGCGACCCATCGCAGTACAAGCCGCCCCGATTCAACAAGGACTGGCTCCGGCACATGTTCTCGGAGGGGCCGCGGGCAATCTGAACGTCTGTTATGCATGCCACCAACCGGGGCATCTAGCCCCAGATTGCCCTCACCGACCCCCGCAACAACGAGTCGGAGCCGCACCAGTAGCTGCAGCCCCCATTGCTAACGGACCTGAACGAGTAGGAGCTCTAATGGAAGAAATGGAAGGCAGAGGTAGTGCGTTAGCTGCCACGGAGGAGGTTGTCGAGCTCATTCCGTTGGATCAATATGTATCGCTTGGGTATCCAGGGCTAGGAATGATTGGAACGATCAGACCTGCGCCAGGACATAAAGAGGTGGCGAAATGGCGACCTTCTCCAGGAGAAATGGAGTCGGGAGGACCCACCTTTGTCACTGGCGAGATCGATGTTTTGAACATCGCCCGAGCATTAGACCATCGGATTCCTCGTCCAATCGGTCATCTGCTTTCTATATCAGAACAGGCTAACGAACGAATGCTGCAGCACTGCAAGGCAAATCGAAACGATTTGCCCTTTCCCGAACAGCAAACACGAAAACGAAAGGACTAATGCCAGACGAGAATGCCGCAGGCGCCTCCTATCCCATACGCATAGGACTGATACAGAAAGATAATCACTTCTTATAAATCAAACCATCCCATGGAAATCCGCGGAATGCGACATAGAAGTACGGGGAGTCACGTACAATGCAATTATCGATTCGGGAGCCGCTATTTTGGCTATTTCGCTACGAGTAGTGGAAAGAGCGGGAAGGAAGGACGATCTAATCATGCTAGCAAAAAGAGACCAGCTCGTCTCCGCAGACGAAGAAAAGATTAAAACGGTGGGACGGATGACCAATGTTGCATTTCGATTAGGGAAAGTGCACGCTTTGGGAGATGTCGTAGTATTAGATGTTAATACTTACGACGTTCTTTTCGGCCTTCCTACCCTAATAGCACTGCGAGCCAACTTGGATTTCAAAAGACGATCGATCGTCCTCTGCAATACGGGAGGCAAGCCCTATGTTGTACCAATGAGATTGACGTTGCGCACTACAGCTAATATAGCCCCACGAGTTTCTCCCGCAATGACAGGGACCCTTCGTACGATTACCTGGGATAACAGGCAGATGTCCGAGAACGCAGACAGCAGCGATGATGACGATGATCCCGAAATTCTGAAGATGGCACGAGAATGTATTCATTACCCCGTGCAGCGAATGAAGGCTGACGCCCCAGGCAGAACTAACCAGGATTTGCAAAGAACACAAGCAATGATTATGGGAGAGCCTCTCGTACAAATTTCAAGGATGGTCGATTCATCGGAACCCCCTCGAACCCTGTAAGAAGGGATCTCCCCTCTTCTCTCTCGATACAATGACAAAAGGCACTATTGCGATATCACGGATCTTCCGAAGTCTCTGCTGACACCTGCAAAGGAAATTCGATTGCTACGTTTAGGGGCAGAGATCAAATCTTTGGAACCCCCTGAGCGCCTCGAGAACGGACTCGGAATCAAGATCGCCACGAAACCCGTGCCGTGGCAGGACGTTCGAGACGGAGTGACGCCTGAGGAACACGTGGCCATCCGAGAAGAGAATGCGCAGATGATGGCCACGGTGTTCTCCTGGGGATCTGATAACTCGTTCATCTTCGCGCTCCCGGCGAAGAACAAGCGAATGAATACGAAACATATTAACGTACGAATATGGGACGAGCCATATGAGTTGCACGTACCGCGATACGTACCTGACGAAATCACCACATAATCGCAGACATCCTAAAGGAATACCAAGAAGCGATTAGTGTGATAGACACGGATATTGGACTGTCGCTAGTCATACAACACGAAATTCAGACGGGAAGTCATTCCCCAATTCACTGCAAACCGTACAGATATTCGCTGGTGGAACGAAAAAAGGCTCTCGAACGAATTCGAGAATTCGAAGCACACGGTTGGATTGAACCCGCCACCGGACGTTGGTCATTCCCAGTAGTATTAGTACCGAAAAAGAACAGATCGATCCGCATATGCATTGATTATCGTAAACTGGATGATATCACGATCAAAAATGTGTATCCCCTCCCCCGGATTGATAATTTGATGGATGCGATTGGGTGTGCTAATTATTTCAGCAAGTTTGATATTCGGCATGGCTTCCATCACATTCTGGTTAAAGAGGAAGATCGACCGAAGATGGCCTTTGTATTGTTTGAAGGCAGGTGGCAGTGGGTTCGATGTCCAATGGGGATTTGCAATGCGCCGGCCACGTTTCAACGGGCCATGAACGTCACATTTCAAAACCGTCAACAAGACACGGTTAACACAAGGAATGATCAACTTCTGCGTCATCGTGTATATGGACAACATCCTGGTTTATTCGGAGACATATCATGGACATGCGCAGCATATCGAATGAACCTTAGGTGCTCTGAGAGACGCTGGGTTCAAAATCACGCTTGAGAAGAGCGAATTTTTCCTCTCGAAAATTTCGTTCTTGGGTTATGTTGTGACACGTGGAGGATTGCGGCCTGACTTGAGGAAGGTCGCGGCGGTAAAAGAAGCTCTTGTTCCCACGTCACTAAAGCAGTTTCGAGCCTTCTTGGGGCTAGCTTCATACTATCGACGGTTCATCAAGGGCTTCGCCGCGATTGCGCGACCCTTAACGAACCTGCTGCGGAAGGACCARCCCCTCAGTTGGGACGCGGAGTGCGAGCAGGCCTTCGCGACCCTCAAGGAAACCCTGGCGACGRCACCTATTTTGATCCGACCGGACCCCTCGAAGCAGTTCATTCTCATCACGGACTGGCAGCCGGAGGCTATTTCCGCTATTTTAGCACAAAAGGGGAACGATGGCCGCGAACATGTCATCGAGYATGCGTCGCAAACGGTACCGGACGAACGAAGGAATGACTCCGCCCCGCAGGGAGAATGTTACGCAGTAAGGTGGGGAATCCAASACTTCCATCCGTATCGGTACGAACAAAAGTTCCTCGTCGTCACCGATCATGAGCCCCTGTTAGCACKRAAGAAACTCTCTAATTACACGGGCATGATTGGCCGATGGGCAGTGCGCCTACAAGAGTACGACTTCGACATCATCCATCGAAAGACGGAGAGACACGGCAACGCGGACGGGTTGACACGTTTGCAACGACCAGCTAAAGTGCCTAAAAGGCTCAGCGAGGTCGGTCGCTTCAGTAGGGTTTCGTCGTTGCTTTTCCACGCACAAGGCGCTACCACGACGCGACTTTCTTCATTCCAATCGGAATACAGAGATTGGAGATCAGCACGTTGAAGGTTGGTCACCAGAAAACTGGTTTCTTTCGGCTGGCCAGAGAGAGTCGTGACCAACGCCCAGAGAATATGTCGACGAGGGCGCAGCAYTTCGTGTGTCCTCTTACGCACGGCGCACCGGACGGGTTGACACGTTTGCAACGACCAGCTAAAGTGCCTAAGGTAGAAGAGATTGTCCCATGGAAGGAGCCGRAGTTGGCGAACGWGCCCAAGTACRGACAAGTGGCAGTTCTCCCTCGTGGCAAGAAACAGGCGAGTGACAATGGGTGACGGAGGTAATCATATGACCCCTCTCTCTCCCCTCTCCCCCTCGTCTCTTCTCTCCTTGCCTGATAAATTTTGTTATTTTTGCGAAGCGATTTCTCGCGTATATTCGGTCTCCATGCGTCTTAACGGGGAAGGCTTCGTCAATTGGGTAGATTGTCGGCGGTGTGTCGCACGAGCCCATGGCACTTGTATCCAGTATCGGAGCAGCGATAGACCCTGGTTGTGCCCTTTGTGCCGATCCGATAAGATCCCAACCGAGGCACGGTTCCTCGACGCCACGTCAGAAGGGTTGGAAAAGACCCGGAAGTTTAAAAGGGCAGAAATCTGGACGGATATCGCTCTAATAGCCACCCTGGTAGGTAACCCCCTTCAAGACTTCACTAAGGAGGACCGGAGGAGGGCCAACGAACGGGCTCGGGATTATCGATGGGTCGAGGGTAGGTTGGAGAAACGGAGAACGGACGATAGTGGGGTTTGGATGGTAGTACCGCACCCGTTTATGAGGTATGACTGGGTAAAGACAGCGCATGAAAAAACGGCTGCCCATTTTGCCGTACGGATTACGGAATCGACAATCGACAAAAACGAGTGGTATTGGTCCAATATTCGTGACGATGTGAAATTCATCRTCGCAAACTGTCAAGTCTACGCTGCCGATAAGGCGCCGATTCAGCCACCAAGATCGATAGTACCAACGGTAGTTGAACGGCCTTTCCAAAGGGTTAGCATGGATACTACCGATATCGTGGTGCCCCCTGGACCTAATAGTTGTGAGTATTCAATCCTACTCGTGTTTGTGGACCATTTTTCGAATGGATAGAGGCGTATCCCTGTCGTAYGCGACAGGCGGCCGAAATTGCGCGATRCGTCAATCGGTTCTTAGGGATGCACCAGGACACGGAGGAAATTCTGACCGACAATGGGGTAGAATTCCGGGGGGAAGTCTTGAGGAATCTGGTCATACATGGCGTCGCTATTCGGAACACCGCACCCCACATGTCGCACTCCAACGGGGTGGTAGAAAATGCAAATAGGGTAATAAAAACTGCGCTACGACGCAATATCGCGGCACGAGATCCCTGGTCGTGGCCTGATATCGTAGATCACATCTTGGCGGTCCACCGAGGAACGCCCCACGAATCTACGGGCCTGAGCCCGTTTCAGTTAAGGACCAATAGTGTAGCTTGTGTTTCAGTACCGAGCCTCCAAGGGCCACGGTTCGAGACAAGGCCAAGTGACACCTGGAACTGATGGAGAGGTCCCTACCCCGGTTAGCCCGAAAGCGACAGAAAATGACCGAGTTGGCCCACGGTCGGCAGGTCCGTAGTTACGAGGCACGGAACGGGAACGAGGGTCCGCGGCCCCAGTACAAATTAGGGGACTTGGTGTAGGTAAGGAAATGTGCTCGCCAAGGTAAGATAGTGCCACGATTCTTCGGGCGATTCCGAGTGATTGAGCTTGGATCGAACGGAGTGAACACCGTGCGCCTCGTGTCGGAGGTTTCGGGAAGCCGATCGGCGCGGCCGATCGTTCGCCACGTGTCTTACCTGCGTCCCCTCCTTCTTCCCCATCTCCTGCGCCAWTTTTTTCTTCGGAAGAAGACGACGACTCTCCATCGCCACCTTCTTCCCCTGCATCTCTTGCCTTATCCCCTACTCCGTCCCCACCACCATCGCCATGAGCTTTCTCACGGAGCGAGCCCTCGGCGACCATCTTTTAACGCCATGGGGTTACATCTCGGCGATCCGGCAGCTTTGTCATCCAAGGCGCAATCAGGATCTTCTACGACTGGCACAGTTCTTCTGCACCTCGGGAGTGTACGCAGCGGCCGAGTTCCGATTCGCGGGCAGWTCTCAGGCGGTCGTGTTGGCAGAAGCGGTGTCCGTTCATCGGCAGTCAGCCCCAGGTATTAGCCACGTGTCCACGGTCGTTGGCTTCACCGACGATATCAGTACGGTCAGTGCGCTGAGGCATACGGCCATCCGAACGTCATTAAGGGAGGGAGTGGAACCGCTGGCTTACACGCCACGGAGATAATCTCTTCCCCACGGACGACATCGAGCTCGGTGGCATTCGAGCGTTCCAACACGAGCCAGCGGTGGTGCTGTCGGAACTCATCCCCTTCCAGCGTCCCCAATGAACCGCTCCCAACTCTCCACCTTCGCTCTCCCCTCTCTCTTTCCCACCTTCTGGCAATCGGGTGTCCATTCTCGACTCTCCTTCTGCCTGGAGCCGGTCACTGTCCCTCTTCTCGATCCTGTGCAATGGAGGCGCTGGCGCGAACACTTCGTCGATCTGTCGGTGTGCCTGATCGGAGTACGAATCACATGGACCAAGGACGAGGAACATCGCGAGTGGTTTGAGTACACGGAGCTGATGATCGTTCAAGCCTGGAGGACCGACGTGGAAGGCGATCTTCTCGGATTTCTGTTCAGATCGGTGCACCCCAGTCATCGCCAGCCGATTACCTTAGAGTTGACGGTCCCCCTTGCGCAGTTAGCATACGATCTCCCACTAGAGAGATCGTCTCGCAGAGTGACGAGAGCCCGGTTCCGCATGTCCTCACACGAACTTTAACGCCGTATCTTCAGTGGTCGGCGTGCCTGGAGGAGCCAGGAACCAGCCGCAACCCGCCGTCGCAGCCGGATTATCTGGACCCACGGGAGATCATCGATCTCGCCTTCTTCCAAGATCGGGCGGCCTCCGAGGACGAAATAATCGAGCGCTCAAGTCGCTGAATAGGACGAGGAGGAAGAAACCCCGGAGGAAGGAAGTTATAGTGAGCACAACGAAGGGGAGCAGAGTGAGGAAGAAGGAGAAGAAGAAGAAGAGTCGGAACTAGAGGAGTCTGAGTGGGAGATCTCCGCGGAGGAGCTCGAGCAAACAGAAGCGGAGCAGGCGGAAGACCCCGAGGCGGCGCACAAAAGAGGAGATCGCAGCCG